AAACACCCTATTGCCGGCGCGTTTCGCCTACATAAACCGTAGCTTCATCGGGACTGGACATGTGCCTTAAAACATTAATTTGTGCTTAGTGTAATTCTGACGATGCTATGGCCCATGTAGCGAAATGCATCGGCAATAGAGTGTTATACCATCTGCAGTGTTTGGCGCCCCGAAACATGAATCTGGTCAGCTCATTAAAATAGTTTTATCGCTCTGCGATATTTCCATGGATCGAAACATCTATGCCCCTCTATGAGGAAAAGGTTTGTTAGAGAAGCTTGGTATAATGAGCCGGTAGGACATCCAACTTTCACTCAGCGCCGCAGTATTGGTTGGTTGTTTGTGGATGGCTGTCAAATCACTGACCTCACGACGTCTGGCACATCTGATCCATTTGTCGGCGAGTCCTCGACGATCAACGAACGAGTGCTGTCCAAAGAGAGCATTGACGATATTCCTTCAGGCGCAGTTTCCCTTCACAAGAGTCATGGTTGTATAAACACGTCGCCGACACATCTGTCAGCTTCCCAAAGTCATACATCTTCAGAAGCGACAGAAACGCTGACTCCAAGCATATTGAAGGTGGAGAGGCGACTAGGTCCACCGTGACTACCGCTGTTGTTGTTCAGTTATTCTGATCCTCTTCTCCAAAGATGTTTAATGTTTGGCTGTTCTTGAATTTAAGGTACCTGATAGTTGAACTGTGTATATCGATTGGTAGTTCAGGAAACATCGCAAGCAACCAATCAGCTCAACGAAATCAATTAGGTTGCAAACGGAAACGCTGATAGACACGTAGCATCCAGGTATAGGAAAACGCTTTGGCAGAACCCAGACTCTCAAGAAAGAGCAAGAAGACCATTGCATTTAAAATAACGCAAGATTCAAAAAGATGTGGTCATTAGTCACCTGTTCTCGTAAAAATTTTCAAAGTGCTCGAAAGCAACCGACATTGTCTTTGGTTGAAATTACGCCAGTAAATATTGAAATAAACGCTTAAATGGTTGCAGGGGGCGTCAAAGTATGAACCAATGCGAAATACCATGTTGAAGCCAAGAATCAAATAAATTATCTAACCATCGCCAATTCACTCTTTCATTTTTCAAGTCAACCATCCCATTAGGGTAACGGGATCGGCTTCTTCAGTAAACCTTTGAAATAATCCAGGTCTGCCGCGAAATTGACAAACTAATTTCATATACTAAATTACAAGAAGCGAGACTAATGTCAGGTCGTCTGTATAATCGAACTAGCTGCTTTGCGATCTTCCTCTTGGTTGTTTGTGACTTTTCCAAAAGTGGGCACCTTGGGGAACCTTTTGTGTTGTATTCTTGTCACATGTCAAAATCAAATCAACTGTGAGCACTTGCCATCGTGGCTACCTCGAATTGCAATGCTGTGGACTTGTCACGCAATCTTGTCGCGCCAACAGTACTTCGAAAATCTTCATTTGTACCGCTTGTATCAGGGATCACACTTTTTCACTCAATATTCACGACTCATGACGATTGGCAAACAGAGGATCTGATACACGATGAAGACAGACAGCTTCAGACTATGGTTCAGCTCATTCTCGATCATCGCAGGAGGCTGTAACTCCCTCATTGCAGTGCCAGCCTGACTGATCCTTGACTGCAATCACTCGTGAATCTCACCCCGTGGCAGTCGAACATCCCTATCTGCTCCATCTGCCAAAGGCCTTTCTCAAGAGTAGCAACATGTCGGGTGTGATTAGGATGATTTACACTAACGCTAATCGCCTGTAGCATCGAATCGATAAAGCGCACATTGGAGGTCATCACTGAACGAAGGTAACACGACGAGATCTTCAGCAAAAACAGAAAACATGCTGAAGTCTCTCAAACTGCGAAGTTCGTCTTGGCTTCGTCTGCTGGTCGAATCCATGAAAATTATGAGAAGGAAAGAATTCAATAAACCTTTGGCAAATGTCAATCTAATTTTGCAAGCATTGTTTTCGGCAGTTAATCTGGTTACAGACTTAGAGAGATTTTGTGGTCCTCGAAAGCTGGCCCCGTGTCCCAAATCCTGCGATGCTCTCTGCCAGTCAGTCAAAATGAAAAGACGGAGAAGGATGCATTGGCAAAGAGAATTTCAAAATCAAGCATTGATGCTGCCACGTCGAAGTGAGGCATCGAAGTGCTCAAAAGGAACGGAAAATGGTTAACGATGGACTGACTACGTGGCACGAAAAGGTTTTTAAACAGACAGAAAGAAAAGGGTAAGATAGGAAATCGAATAAACTGGAAAATGGCCTTTCGCACCCTTCCCATTACACTCATCGGAAGAGTCAGACCGCTTGGAATTCTTATGATTCGTTCAGTAGAACTTTAGCATTTTTATTTCTGAAAGTCTGTAGGGTGAGTGTCCATAAGGTTCCTTCTGACCATCAACATATTTGTCTATTATAATCTTCGAGTGTGCTAAATTAGCAACCACTGACAATTTAGATGTCGTGCATAAGTTCAGATACGTTTCTGAAGAATAAGGAAAAGAAGAGCGAAGTTAAAAGAATTATGCAATAGACAAGATCAATTACTTTGTTTCACATGGTCCAAAAACAGCAAAGCAGGGCTTACTAAACACATTCAGCAGACTTATCTTGTTGATAGCACTTTAGCCTACTCATAAACTCGCCTCTTCCTGATGCAGAGTGCCTGGAAAGGAGGTGTTCAGAAATAATGAATGGAAATTGCAGAAAGTTCAAAAGCAGCAATTCAGATTTTGTCTCGGGCTCGAAACAGTGATTGAGATTCTTAATCTCCGCCAGATTTACGAAAGTGCTTTGGGGGGGAGGGGGTGCCTGCTTCAAAGATCTGGGACAGGGTGCCAGGATGCCTTGGTCGAAGGTTTGGAAGGCAATGTACGAAGAGAGGAAAACATGTCCGTTACCGGGACCATCACATCTTTATATGACGTTTTGGATATCTATCAATAACATATGCCTTTGAAGCTGCACGTTGAACAATTGACTTGTTCATAGCATTAAAGGACCGGACCGACAGACGCAGCTTGGCAAAGGGGAAAGTGACAGGTTTTTCTGTTCGATTTATTCACGTGCTCATCACAGATGATCGTGTCATGTTCGCTTTTTTTAATGCTGACTTTCAACGTGCATCTGATTAGTTTTGCCATATGTAATGACACCAGCATGAAGTTCAGCTTTGCCAAAACAGAGGATTTCGTTCTCCTAGAAGAGAGCTGTCGGTGTGTGTCGGCGGTTAGCGAAGTGCAGCTAATGCAAGAGGTAAAATTTGTTCCTCAGAGTAGAATTCAGCACTGGTGAGAGGCGAGACATGAAGATAGATACATAATTCGGCCGGTTAAAAACATTAATCTAGGAACATTCCTTGTTTAGTCTCTTTTTATACTTCTAATAACTTCCTTTATAGTCCCACGTGTGCTTCTGAAGAACTGAAGCAGGCATACCATAATATACCAACTGAACCGGCGTGTAATCACATAAAAGGAACCG